AGTGAGCTGGCTAATGTGCGGCAGCCGGCAACGAAGCGAGAAATACTGCGCGTCGTGGCGTCTATTTTTCACCCACTCGGATTCACCTCGCCGTTTGTGCTTCTAGCCAAACTGCAGCTGCAAGCACTCTGGTCTTGCCAGCAGGGCTGGGATGACCCACTCACCACAGAGGAATCTGATCGATGGGCGGCATGGATGGAGGAGCTGCCCCAGCTGAGTGACACCAAGCTGCCACGATGGTATGGCGTTCAGGAAGAAGCCCCTCTGAGAAGAGATCTCCACGTCTTCTGTGACGGATCTGAAAAGGCTTTTGGAGCCGTGGCGTACCTGCGTCACGAGTACTCAGACGGAACCATTCACTGTGCGTTTGTCATGGGCAAGTGCAGAGTCGCACCGCTCAAGAAACTATCTATCGTACGCCTGGAAACTCAGGCAGCCGTGCTGGCTGTGCGTCTGGCAGCGTCGGTTGTCCAAGAGCTCACTGAAGAGGTGCACCGGGTGGTGTTTTGGAGTGACAGCCAGGTGGTTTTGAGCTACATAGCCAACGACAGCAAGAGATTCCACACATTTGTGGCAAACCGGATTGCTGAAATCCGTGACTTGACCGAGCCCAGCCAGTGGCGACACGTTCCTGGTGAGGTCAACCCAGCTGATGACTGCTCTTGCGGGCTAACGGCCTCTGCGCTCACTAAGGACAGCCGTTGGATCCGTGGGCCCGATTTCCTGTGGAGGCCAGAAACCTGCTGGCCGGCTGGTAGTGAGCAGCATAAGCTACCTGATGAGGATCCTGAAGTTAGAGTGGTGTTAGCTACTCAACACAAAGCCAGAGAGACAACCGCGGTCATTCCTGACCCAGAGCGATTCTCAAGCTGGCTGCGCTACAGGCGTGTAGTCGGCTGGACGCAGCGATTCCTGATCAACTTCGTGGCATCTCACTCGTTCGAAGATCGCCGGAACGACTTGAGAAGTGGTCCACTGTCGGCTGATGAGCTGCAAGACGCGCAGAATCTTGTCATTCGGGAGGTGCAGCGTGGGGAGTTCACTCAAGAGCTTGCAGCGCTGAGAAGCGGAAGGTCCATCAGCACGAGTAGCTGTCTACTTATGCTCTCTCCAGTTCTTGATGAAGACGGCCTGCTTCGAGTCGGTGGGCGGCTGGTGAACGCCCCTCTGCCTGAGTCCGCCCGCCATCCGGTCATCCTGCCGCGGGACAGCCGCGTGACAGCTCTGATCGTGAAGGACGTCCACCAGAAGCTACTGCACGCCGGAGTCGAGCAGACACTGAACGATCTGCGACAGCTGTTCTGGATACCCAGAGGGAGAGCAATGGTGAGGAGAGTCCTGCACAGCTGTCCGGTGTGTCGCCGGCGCCGCGCAAAACCGTGCCAGCCGAAGATGGCAGATCTGCCCCAGGCGCGGTTCGACACGCGGCACGTGTTCAGCAGCGTCGGTCTCGATTTTTTTGGTCCTATGCTCGTCAAGACGGGAGGACGGCATGAGAAGACGTACGGACTGTTAGTGACGTGCCTCGCCACCCGGGCAGTGCACCTCGAGCTGTGCCACTCGCTCAGCACCGATAGCTTCCTCATGGCGTTCCGCAGATTCGTCTCAAGGCGAGGCAGACCGAAAGAGGTGTTCTCTGATAACGGGACGAATCTGCGAGCAGGAGAGAGGGAGATGCGTCGGCAGATCCAAGCATGGAACGTCCACGCCATCAGTGACCGCCTCGCACAAGATGGCATTAAGTGGCATTTTAACCCGCCAGGTGCGTGTCACATGGGAGGCGCCTGGGAGCGGCTAATATCCTCCGTTAAGCGTGCTCTGAGAGCAGTGCTGAGCCAGCTGACTGTCACGGACGAAGCGCTACAGACCGTGCTGACAGAAGTTGAGGCGGTGGTCAACGGTCGACGATCTGACCCATGTGTCCACAGAAGTGGATGATTTGGAGGCGATTACGCCGAACCATCTTCTGCTCGGCCGACGGGTAACTTGTCTGCCACCTGGCGTCTTCGACAACGGCGAGTCTGCGAGCAGGAGGATCTGGCGACAAACACAAGCTCTGACAGACCAGTTCTGGACCAGATGGCTGAAGGAATATGTCCCCAGCCTGACCTGTCGCCGCAAGTGGACAAGAGACATGCGGAACTTGGCGCCCGGCGACCTGGTTTTGATCGCAGAAGATAACGTGCCGCGGGGTCAGTGGCCCCTCGGCAGAGTGATCGAAGTGATGCCCGGCCCTGACGGCCGGGTGAGGTCAGCTCGTCTGCGCGCTCGTGGTGGTACAGTGCACCGACCGGCCACCAAGATATGCCTTCTCGAGGAGGCGAGATAACTGCTGACGGTGTCCAGTGATACCGGCGTCTCACGCGCGCGTGCGCGTGGAGGGGGGAGGATGTTCTGTCCGAACAAAGTCCATATTAGAACGATGGCGCGAGACAAAAGGCGCATGAAAAATGAAATGTGTTACACTGATGAAGAATGTGAAGAAATGATAACTGGGGAAAAAGGAATTTGAAATTTGGCTCAAAACTTGGTTCATTGTAGTATTGTTATTGCTGGCTCGACGAATGAATGAAATGTTTGCTTGCGTTTCCGTTTTTTCTTGATTGGAATGATCCGGCACTTTTGTTTAATGTTGCAGACACAACAAGAGCTATAAGTAACTGGATCAGGGACGTAGCCAAGGGGGGGGGCACACAGACCATGCCCCCCCCCCCCAGAAAGCGAAAAATAAAACAAAATTTAATAAAGAATAAAAATAAATAACAACAGCTGCACCACACCTAAAAAAAAAATAGTGAGCAAATCCGAGGAGTTTTCCTTTTTTGGAGGGGGTACGACACTAGGCCGCGACCTGTGGTCCCTCCCTGAGCAAAATCCTGGCTACGTGCCTGAACTGGACACATCTAAACACAAGGCAAGGCATTACATGCTACATGTGTCAATGCATTACACAGTACACATATACGCAGTTAACAATATCCGGATACATAATTTCCTAAATAACAAACTGACTGATCTGACAAGCTTCTATCACGCTATATTCACCCGTGAACATGGCGCTGATCTAATAAGGTACCGCTGTGTCTTCGAAAGGACGCACTAATTGCTGTAGAGCCCCATTCAGCTGACCCCGAGTCAATCTAGGGGATCGATCGCCTCAGAAAGCCGAGTGCCTCAACAAAAGAAATTAATGGTGCTCCAGCTATTGATGGTGATCAGATTTTCTGGCATAATTAAAAAGCCACGCGCTCCGGAAAACGAATTTGGTCTACGGAAGTGAAAAATTCACAGAGCTTCGTGTGGCGCCGAGAATGGCAAAAGGGCCTCTCTTTGAACAATCTGTGCTCCATTTGCACCATTCTGAAAGTTTTGACGAAAAGACAAAACGACATTCGTTAAGCAATGTTACTAAGATGACCGCAGATATGTTTTGAACCCACGAGAAGAGACAGCATAGTCAGCATTAGCGAACAGCTCATGCACAGACATCTGCACGCTAAATCAGATCCGACCCTCATGAAAATTGAAATCGCCTGACCTGTGACATTCTCTCCATACGCTAATGAATCGCATGATCATCAAAATCAAAATCACAAACCCGGCGGCCTAATTTATCACAGCGATGCGGCTGGCGTGAAAAATCATCATTAGCTGATGACATTAACGCTGATGACATTAACCAATATCTGACAAGTCTGCAGCAGAAGTTCGCAGGTCTCAGGCTGACCGCTGCACGCGAGTGGCATCGTAATCAGCAATCAGCTAATGCCATGCGGTCGAGAAGGCACCCTGATCCCGGCCTGGAGCCGCAAGCCGACGCGCCATTTATACTGGCGCCAAAACCGTCATGAGAGGTGACGATCGGTTCCGCCCGGTGTCAGAGGCTCAAAATAGTTTGTCTATAAAACTATAAAATAGTGGGTCGAAAGACACATCCAAACGGATGTGCTTATGAAAATGGTTAATGGAGCAACATTGTACCATTCAAACTGTAAGCTACACAAGATTTCGAGACAGGAAAGACCATATGTGTAGGAAAGGCAAGGCTCATATAAATGCCAGCGCAAAATAAGTTCCCGTTTTCTGTTCTCATCTACGAAAAAAAAAAATCCATAATTCCGCTTTACGCCAGCCACGGTCCACGGTCCATTTTCCCAAGTCGTCTAAATTTCTTTCACTGATATCTAATGATATATTTTTGGCATAGTGCTATGTTTCAGCACATGTGAAAGCCGCGCCCCTCTAGGCCCGGTATTGGATATTGTAGGGAGGCAGGCTGCCAAAGAGACTCTCAAAGCGCTTCGGCAACAACACTTCACGCTGAGGAAGCCTGCACTTGAGTTTATAATTGCAAGACTGATTACATACTATGCAAAGCCATCACGCGAAAGCCTGGAAAACACTCGACATAATCTTCAAAGACGCTACATTTTAAATAATAAAAAATGAAGGCAGGCCGCTGCTATTATATAAGAGGAAGCCATAGCGGAGGGGCATACACTAGCCACATTGGCACTAACTTTTGGCCCACGTCGACTTAAAACGCACCAATGACTGGCGTGAACCTCCGCTTGGCCACGGTCCGTACTCGAAGCAGGATGAAATCAGTTCGTAGGACGGAACGTGCCCGCTGTACAACCACGCGCGGTTCCGTGCTCTAAAATATGCACAATTCTCCAAAGTCTGAAGGCTCGGCAGAGGAGGCAGGTCAGGCCCAGTTACTATAGACTAGACTATCTACATAGACTGGCCAGCTCAGGGTAGGCAGGTTGCCTTATCACGTTTCACTACACCGTGTTTGACTAGCCCTGTCTGACGAAATCGTGCTTGACTAACCCGTGTCTGATTAAACCGTGTTTGACTAGCCCCAGTTCGACTAACCAAACTGTGTTGACTAACCCGAGTTTGACTAGTACCTAACTGACCAGTCCCGGACCGACTAGTCATACCGGGGACCCCACCACTGACCACTCCCGCCGCCGACTGGCGGTCAAACCCACCTCATCAGTGATCTGGAACCCAAACTGTCTGCGGAGAGGCTCCAGTCGGAACAGGCCCGAGTTGCAGATCTGGGTGAGGTCGATCTGCCGGCCGGCGTCCACACGGTCCGTGTCCACCATAAGCTGTGGAGGCAGGAGTGGAGTTAGAGTGGAGTTAGTGGAGTTACGTCCACGCGGTCCGTGTCCACCATCAGCTGTGGAACGAGGAGTGGAGTTAGAGTGGAGTTAGCGGAGTTAGGTTGAGTTCCACGGTTCATATTTGCCACGCATAGGCCACATCAGACTTTGTAGGTTGTAGGCCGTAAGTTGTTACTAGGTTGTTGGGTTGTAGGTTGATTGTTGAAGGTGAGGTTACGTCAGGTTAGATTATGTTTTGTTCTATATTTACCGTGAAAAGACCTATGCGACGCATCGTGAAGCATGGAGGTTGATATGATACCCCCCCCCCCACACACACACAAAAGGTTCATGCCCAACATCAGCTGTTGGAGGGAGGAGTGGAGTTGGTGCATTTAGAAGAGTTCGATACACTTGGACCGTGTCGGGTATTGACTGTCAACTGAGAGGCTGCATTGTATTTAGTGCGTAAGCTGCGTTGGAGGCGTTTTGTCAATTCAGTCAGAGATAACAGTCAGATTTTGAGTGAGATGTGAGAGGAAAGAGTTAGCGGAATTTGAGGAGGTACAGTGTTCGCCCCGTCGTATCATTACACAAGAGCACGCTCATGAAACTCCACGAACCCTTATCATTTGCCATTTGTTGTCATAACCATCCGTTACTTTATGAAGGGCATCGCACAATCCTACCTTCACAAGCTTTTTCACACCTTTAAACCCTCACCTACCCTGTCCCTCGTCGTCACTCTCACCTGCAGCTGGTGGAGGGAGACGGGCGGATATTCCCACCTCAGGTGGTGCCCCTTGTACGGGTCCTCGCGCGGGATGCGTATGTAGAACGGCGTCTGGCCGCCCTCAAACCCGGCGCGCGCGAAATGCTGGCGCGCTTTGGAGCCCTTGTCGCCGGCGCCGTGCGTATCGCCTCCGTGGGCTCCGCGCTTCCGGCGGCTCTGTAAGACAGAGGGATGTGTTAGGTGGGAGTCGAGGCGGGGGGGGGGGGGGTCATCACGGATTTAGCGCTGCTAAATGAATGGAACAGTCACTAGTCAATGAAGTGAGACAGAAAGAACTGAGAAGACAGATGCTCCAAGAGCGTTGGTATGCGATCGGGTGTTCACACAAGACGTTGAGCTATCTTTCCAAATTACTTTAAGCACGCTGTTTGGGGAGGCTTAAAAAGATATTCCATTTAAAACATTTCTGCCATATCACTTGACCTACATCATCCTTCATCAACATTAGGCTCCAAAAAGCCCGACTAATGTCCCCTCTTCTGTGGCCCGGTGCCATCCGGAGTCCATATCACACCACTGAGTCGCCAGCTAACGGCTGTCCGGCAGCTGTCGGTTCCGGCCGTTCACAGTCTGAACTGCTCATTAGCTCCCATTATCACACCGCTCGGCCCGGCCAGTCCTACAGTGGCCACTTAAGCGCGGGTTACACCACCCGGAGCCGCCGACACAAACAGGGCGGTTACGCGGCGGGGGTTCGGCGGTGACCCTGTCGCAATGGGAGCAATCAATCAATCAATCAATCAATCATGTATTGAGTCCTCCATGTGAATGGTTTTTCAGTGCTCTCGTCATACAATCATTCACAATCTATAAAACTACAAGTGGGTATAAAACACACATCAATAAGAATGACGCACAGTATAAAAGTAAAGAGAATTGTCTGTACCAGTAAGATACTCAGATGGCAAAATGTGAAGTTAAGAAAGCACAATACGCGGGTAAAAAGTAGACAAAGTAAATAAAAGTGAGCAGCGCAAAAAAAAAAATCATCACAAAATACATCACAGCTTGTTTGCCAGAAAGCTAACGATGGAGACCGTTCCACGACTTTACTGCTCTAAAATGAAAAGTACGCCTAGCTCGCTCTGTTCTAATTTTAGGCAGGTCCAGCTGATCCCCACATGTGCCGCGAGTGAGCCTCCTATTCACATCAGAGCGACGCATCACGAGTCCAGCTAGAGATGGCGGCGCATCCGACGAGATAATCCTACGCAGCATCGCTATGTCTCGGTCCTCCAACATCTTGTCAAACTTCGGCCATTCGAGAGCTTCCAGAGCTGCGGTAATGTGGTCGCGTTTAGACAGTCCTGTTACAATGCGCGCCGCGAAGTTAATGGCCTTCTGCACACGTCGCCTCTGGGTTGCGCAGCAGCCTCCCCAGACGGTACAGCAGTACATTATGTGGGGGAATACAAGGGCCTCGATAAGCATCTTTTTTACTTCATACGGTAGCTTATGTCTCAACTTAGATAGGCCGACTAGTACATGGTAGCAGCGGCGGGTCACCAACGACACCTGCTTCTCCCAGGTCAGTGAAGAGTCAAAGAACACGCCTAAAATTTTGATCTCGTGACTAGGTTTAATTTCGCAAATGCCAAAGTTAATAGTAAAATTTGCACTACATATTTTTCTCTGCGGCTTTACTAGCAAAAGTTCAGTCTTAGTTGGGTTGATTTTTAGCCTGTTCTGGGTGTACCATCGGAGAGCCACCTCCAAAGTACACTCCATACGCCGTTTTAGGTCGTCCAAATTAGAAACCGTATCAGAGTCAATAAACTGAATGTCATCGGCGTACATGACCTGCTTGCCACTGGGTAAATGAGACATAAGGTCGTTAGTAAAAAGTAAAAACAATTTTGGACCCATTAGTGACCCCTGTATCACGCCGTGTGTCACCGGTAGTGCCCCAGCGCTGCTACCCTGCATCCTCTGACTTCTGCCGTACAACCAGTCACGAAACCAGTGATCGCTCACGCCGTACCAGCCTAGCTTTACAAGCAACCGCTCATGTTCAACGCTATCAAATGCACGAGACGTGTCTGCGGCAAGTAATGCACATACGCAGTTATTTTCCAAACAAGCTGATATGTAACTAAGTGAATCGATTAAAGCAGTTTCAGTTGAATGCCCGTTACGAAACCCATGCTGATTATCACATAAAACATGATGTTGGTTTAGATAAGATGAAAGTTGATTGCTAACACATTTTTCACAAAGTTTGCCAGGTACGCTGTTGATGGATAGAGGCCTATAATTGCCGGGGTCACATCGGTCACCTTTCTTGTGCAGCGGCACGACACACGCCTCCTTCCATTTCTCTGGTACCTCTCCTGTTTGCAGCGAACTGTTTATCACGTGGAGCAGATGTGGCCCCGTCACGGCGAAGGTGGCCCTCAGCATCTGCACTGTCACTCCGTCCACCCCACATGCCCGCGAGCTGTAAGTCCAAGGGTTTAAAGTTACGAAAGGCCGGACCTAAGTGACACATTCAACATGTAAAATCGACACGAGTGAGGCCCAGTAGCGGAAGGGTAGGGACTAAGGAATACATGAACGACGGGAGGATAGAATTTGATTTGGCGAGTCAAGGTTCCACACGGCACACATTGATGTGTGTTGTTCTACACAAATCCAGGCACCTACAGATGGCCCGCCTTTCGGAGGCATCCAAACATAAATTCACATATGGGCACGCCGCACACATACCACGTTCGGTCACGCCTTTCAGAACACTGACATTACTGTACTTATTCAAGACAGGACAATATCAACGAATAAGCCTTCTGTTGTGTGACAGAATGTGCCTTCATTCCCGTTTGCCGGCAATTCCCTGTTCATTCAATCATTCCCCGTTCCTGGTTCGCTCACCGCCGGCTTGGGGTTCGGGTGGTCGATGTTGTTGAGCGCCACGCGCGGTAGGTGGCGCAGCAGGCGCAGTGCCTTCTCCTGGCCGGCTCGGCTCGCCATCTCAGGCAGTCTGTGGGCAGGGGCGACCAGACATGTCAGAAAGGCACTGGCGGATAACGGGGGGGGGGGAGGACATTTGGGGCATTTACCCAGATCCATCAAACTACAATGGGAACACAAGGTCAAATACACAGCACATACACATACTACCCACCGTGCTTGCATAAGGATTGTTTAGAGCACACAAAGGTTTGGAGACTGCATCGTCCGTGCTATCAGTAGCCAGCATGAGGTATGAGGGGCTATATGCTCTTTCCTCATGCCATCGGAGCTCCTCCACGTAAATCCCCGTCTAAGCAAAACCCTATCTACGCAGCTCTTCATCCACATTTCCTCGTCGGCGCAGGTCTACTTCCACAACTATGCATCTAAACCACCATATTACGATATTTCCGAGCTCACCACACGTCACACCTGCACCCCTGAACCGGCTCTCCACAATAGCGTCGAAAGACAACCGAAAACCGCAAACATGGACCCAGTCCCGGACCTTACCCAGCTACTCCTCGGACCGCATCAACCAGCGAATAACCAGCGAATAACCAGCGAATAACCAGCGTTAAGTGCCTATATGTCGGACTCGGGCCGATGGTAGCTGGTGCCGACAATTCAACAAAGCGTCGGTGACAATTGGGGTGGGACAGGGTGGGAACGGGCGGAAGCTGGGTGCAGGACAAGCCTCACCCTACCACCTGTTTAGGAAACATCTTTCAGTCTAAGGCGTTCAGTCATAGAAAGATACCACCTTTAGCAGAGATCCCAACTATTAGGATGCTGGGAGTGTAGTTCCCCTTTCCTAACAAAGGGATTCCCATTCCCTGGAAGTTCTGGTGAGGTGGGATGGATGAAGTTGAAGAATGTCGCAAAGAAATGGGGAGACAAAATTAACGCTCACAAATGCTGCAGAGACAGAGACGGTTCCGGGTTCACAGACAAAGACTTAAGACATGAATGAGCAAAGATTCAAAAATGAGCATTTGCAAAGATTTGAGGCTGACATTTGTGTTTAATGAAGATCAGATCATGTGAACGAAATGCCTGTGGCCTGTGGGGAGGGGGAGAGAGAGAGAGAGAGGGAGAGGGAGAGGGGAGGGAGAGGAAGAGGGAGAGAGAGGGAGAGGGAGAGGGAGAGGGAGACGGAGAGGGAGAGGGGGAGAGAGAGGAGAGAGAGAGAGAGAGAGAGAGAGAGAGAGAGAGAGAGAGAGACAGAGAGAGAGAGAGAGACAGAGAGATACAGAGACGGAGACGGAGACGGAGACGGAGACGGAGACGGAGACGGAGACGGAGACGGAGACGGAGACGGAGACGGAGACGGAGACGGAGACGGAGACGGAGACGGAGACGGAGACGGAGACGGAGACGGAGACGGAGACGGAGACGGAGACGGAGACGGAGACGGAGACGGAGACGGAGACGGAGACGGAGACGGAGACGGAGACGGAGACGGAGACGGAGACGGAGACGGAGACGGAGACGGAGACGGAGACGGAGACGGAGACGGAGACGGAGACGGAGACGGAGACGGAGACGGAGACGGAGACGGAGACGGAGACGGAGACGGAGACGGAGACGGAGACGGAGACGGAGACGGAGACGGAGACGGAGACGGAGACGGAGACGGAGACGGAGACGGAGACGGAGACGGAGACGGAGACGGAGACGGAGACGGAGACGGAGACGGAGACGAGACAGAGACAGAGACAGAGACAGAGACAGAGACAGAGACAGAGACAGAGAGAGAGAGAGAGAGAGAGAGAGAGAGAGAGAGAGAGAGAGAGAGAGAGAGAGAGAGAGAGAGAGAGAGAGAGAGAGAGAGAGAGAGAGAGAGAGAGAGAGAGAGAGAGAGAGAGAGAGAGAGAGAGGTTACCTACTGTTGCTGGCTGGCTTCCCCTCAAGTTTGTCACACGGACACGACTAAGGCCATATAAGACAACTTCTTGCAATTCATATGCACACCCGGCACACTTGCACACACGGTCAACTTGCACACTTGCATGCACTGCAATATGCAACAAGATTTCGCCGATTTTGACTGTCTCTCTTCAGAATTGTCTATAGAAATTACTACCAAATCCTTTTCTGGAAAGGAACATAGAAAAATATGGAGGAAAACCTGGTCAAGGAAACTTTATATAAAACAAATCAACTGATAAATTTCATGTGTAATTTGCAACGAATCACTTTATTTTCCAGCGTAAGAACTCTTTTGGCCAGATTTATTGTGGAAGTAAGCATTCTGCCTGAAACCGAGAAAACTCCCTCAATGATAGCAAAAGTTGGTAGCAAATTCGGGTAGGCAGAAATGACGCACCAACCCGGCTCATAAATTTGTGTTCTTTGTTTCTCAAATAACTGCCAGTCACATAGCAACCTGCTGCAGCAGTTGAATAAACGTTTTTTGGCGGCGAGTTGCTAGGCAATGTGAAATTATACACCAATCAATAAGCATCTGATACCATTAAGAACACATGGCCTTAGCTTGGCTGGCTTACACTGATTGCATTGCAGCGTGCGCACGAGGGTCAACCTTTTCCCATTTTTCAACATATTGGGCCATCTGGTTGGAAGAATCGCCGTATAAAAGACAATTTAAGAAGCACTAACAATGGCTTCTAGGTCAAGGAAAGGAGGAGATAATGATTCTCAAATCACCCACGTCCAAATAGATGGTCTGGTAAGTTCGCAGTTTTACTTACGTGCCTATGAAGCATGGAATTGAAATACCGTTGTAGGTACCTGCCTACCTATGTTAATGCTGTCAGTAAAAGCTGTCATATTTCATTTCTCTATGCAATCCAGACTTCCAAGCATGGCGACACCAACAGGGCTGAAACCCAGTCTGCAAAGTATGGCTATTTCGACAAGATCCTCCTGACAGGTATGGTTGCGGTTGGTGGCAGGCCGTAGCCAGGCGAAGTCAGCGAGAGGACCGGCCGTGCGCGGCTTTGTGCGCACGTTAAACTTTGGACTCTAAATTCTGCCATAGAATTGGAATTGCGCGATCGGAGGGTAGAGGGCAGGGTCATCGCAACAAGCTTTGCTTAGCGGTGGCTCTGTCCTTGTGAATCCTTCCCATCAAAATGTTCGGACTAAATTTATAAAAAAAAAATCCTGTCTGTGCGGACTTGTTCGGCTGGTGCAGTGTTATGCTGATTTGGCTTGGTGTGATGTGGATTTAGTGTGTGGTATGGATACTGAGGCGTCCATGCTCAATCCCATCTGGCATGCCATTCTGGAAGGTATTTAATTTAGGATTTAGGAACACTGCTCAACAAGAATTTAAGGGGCTGACCCCCTGATAATTGTCACAAGTGAGGTTGAGCCCTTCCAACTTTGGAAGATTTCTGCATTTCTGATAGTAGGCAGCAGGGTTACCAGCAAATTCATCTAGCCATTGACATGTGTGTGTTCTGTTTCAGGCCATGATGAAGATCATCAAGCACTGCCACCAGGATGCTTCTACCCCTGCCGATGATGCCCAGGGTGTGCTGCTTGGCCTCATCATGGAGAACAAGCTGGAGGTGACCAACTGCTTCCCGTTCCCCAGGAGCATCGACGGTGTAGATGATGGTGAGTTCTTCCTTCTTCGGCAGGGCTGGGAAGGTGGCACTGGTGCCTGGTGGTAGAGGTGGGTGCTGATACTAGGATTTTGATCCTTCTTATTCTGAAAAAAATGACCACATCACTTTACAACAACCTGAGCATGCTATCCAATTCCAGAACCCTCATTGTGGCTCAGGTTATACCTAAATTGTAAGGTAAAATTTGTGAATAGGACGATTATTGGTTATGGATCTGTGTGGTAACTGCTGGTTGCAACTTACGATTGCTGCTGGCTGGGCTCGTCCTCTGCCATATTTGAAACCATTTAGAATAGGAGCATTTTTTAATTTCAACTAAGCTTTCCCTCTGACAATACCTCTGCCGCGTTTCTCATCACGTTTCCTCACGTCATGTCTACGTTTTCGCCATGGTTTCTCTCCCTACCATATCTCCCCTCCCTTTTCCCTTTTCCTCTCCTGGCCTCTCCTTTGGACACATCCTCTCCTCTCCGTGGTGTGACCCCTTTTTAACGCTCTCCTGCCTCTCCCGCCGACAGACCGGTACCAGCTGGACATGATGCGCCTGCTGCGGCCGGTGAAAATGTCTCCTCTCCGTGTCCCCCTTCTAACGCTCCCCGGTGTCTTTCCGTTCAGACCGGTACCAGCTGGACATGATGCGCCTGCTGCGGCCGGTGAAAATGTTCCCTCTCCGTGTCCCCCTTCTAACGCTCCCCTGCCTCTCCCGCCGTTCAGACCGTTACCAGCTGGACATGATGCGCCTGCTGCGGCCGGTGAACGTCGACTACCTGTCGGTGGGCTGGTACCAGAGCGCCTCCAGCGGCAACTACATCAGCCGGCAGCTGCTCGAGTCGCAGCAACAGTACCAGGAGTCCATCGAGGAGTCGTTCGTCATCATCTACGGTACGGGAACTTACGCACATAGGCTGGTGGGAGAGGATGAGGGTCGGTATCCACGGTACTTCCGTTAGCTGACTTACACTGGTGGGGGAGGGTGAAGGGCGTCATCTACGGTATGTGAACCGACTGACGGAAAGGGAAAGGAGAGATGACAAGTGGGAAAGGGAGGATAAGAGGCATTGACTGTTGTGACTGTGGCGGGGAACATGCGAGAGTATCATCGTCTGTGGCATGTTCGGTAAGCTAACTAATGGAAAATGGGGAAGGGAGAATTAGTTACGCTATCATCTGCGATATATGAGCGGACTGACGGGAAAGGAAGGGAGAAAGGAATTAGGAAAGGAAGAGGGTGGCGCGGACTATGTGTGGGCGGTATCATCTTCATCTTCACCTTCGTGTTATGGGGGCAAGAGGCACGATGTCTTGTAGGGCCCGTTCTCGCCGATTTCCATTACTTCACTTAGTACTCAGTCTGTTACAATTTATGGAACATGAGTTGGCAGACGCTGCTGTGAAGTTTCAAATGTCGTACAGCGGTGTCCAGTCTCATTTCACGTGCCATTACCCCCACCGCGCCCGACAGACCCGGTGAAGACGGCGGCCGGCGCGCTGTCGCTCAAGGCCTACCGGCTCACTAAGCAGGCCATGGAACTGGTTAAGGACAAGGGCTACTTCAACTTCGACATGCTGCGCAACCTCAAAGTCGGCCACGAGAACATGTTCCAGGAACTGAAGGTGAGAAAATGTGCCTGAAGAGAGGGTGGGGAGGTAGTTATATCATGTCGTTATCACTCTGCTCTCATCATTTTGTGTATTTTTAAAGCTCATATTTTTGGAAGATTGTCTCCACCCACCACTGAACTATGCCGACGTCTCTTTGACCTTTGGTGACCTCTGGTGACCCCTACAGGTGATGATCCGGAACTCCCATCTCCCACTACGCCCTCTGTGACCTCTTCTGGTCTCTGATGACCTTTAATAACCTCTCATTGACCCCTGGTGACCTCTGCAGGTGGTGATCTCCAACCCCCCCCCCCACCCCCCACCCCCACTGACCTCTGGTGACCTCTCACTGACCCCTGGTGACTGACCTCTACAGGTGGTGATTCGGAACTCCCACCTGGTAAACGCCCTGCTCTCCGAGCTCAGCGAGGTCTTCCCGGAGACACTCAACCTCGAGGCCATGGACCTCGGCACAGCGTGAGTGTCGAGACCGGGGGGAGTTGCAGAACTCTGGTCTTGCTTGTCTTGGGGAAATGGTAGGACAGGTGGTAGGTCTTTGAGCTTTAAAGTTGAAGTTTCTAGTTGATGCGGTACGTTGATAGGAACTCAACTTAGGAGAGAGAGGACTGATAGATGTTAGATTGTAAAAGAGGGGAATTCTTTAAATGGAGATGTCATCGTACTCATTTGCTGAGTATACAGAGTACCTATACATAAGTTTCTTCAACGGGTCGATGTTCTTCTGTTTGTCTCCAGAAGAGCCAATGATTTCGGTTGTAATCTTGTGTTGTTGTTAAATGCATACAGGTAATATTCACTTTGTCTTACGTATTTGAAATATTAAGTCGCGGAAAACAATCATTTGACGGAACTGACGTAAGCACAATACGATGTCATCTGCCTAGAACATCTGACTGTCATTTCTACCGGCTCTGGTACCGCCGTTTCACCTGTGGCCTGTCGCTTCTACCGGCTCCTGTACCGCCGTCTCACCGTTGTCCCGCCCCGCCTCCAGTCCGGTGTTGCAGCGTCACCTGCGCAGCATCATGGACTGCACGGACGAGATGTCGCAGTTCCACCAGTTCCAGAAGCAGACCGTCAAACAGCAGCTCGAGAAGACACGCTACCAGCAGCGACGGGTGAGAGCGACAGGAGGGCGTGTAGCGCCTAGGGAAGGGTGGGGGAGGGGGTACACGAGACACGAAAAAAGATGTGAGGAGGGTAGGGGCTAAAAATGTAAAGCAATGTTATCAAGAGGGTACTTGATACAGGTATTATCGGTGCAATCCGTATGGTAAGAGATAGTAAATGGATTTTGGTACCATTACCTGTTGTGTGAATTTCCTGCGTAAGTCTCACTGCTATATAATTTTGCTAGATTTATGCCAAGGACAAAATGCTCGTATGTCTGGTTGAACTTATTTACTGGTGCTAGCAAAGTGATCAGGTGTGGGAAACTGGATATGACTGGCGATAATTTGTCGCATTGCTCTCCCTAGGATGACATTTTTCGACATTTTTTTATCATTTCACACCATTCATGTACCCATGCACCAATGCTTACCTCCTTCCCATCCCGCTGTTCTCCTTCAGAACGTGGAGAACGCAGCGCGGAAGGCGCGGGGCGAGCCGCCGCTGCCCGACGAGGACTTCAACTTCAAGCCGATCCAGCCGCCGCGCGACCTCGAGCCGGGCGTTATCGTCGGCGGCCAGATGGCCATCTACTGCCAGCAGATCAACAACTTCTGCTCGCAGGCGCTGGCCAAACTGTTCCTGGTCGACTCGCTGCACCAAAACTCACCGCAGCGGCCACTCGGTCAGTAGTGGCGCCGCCGCGCGGAGAAATGTGCAACTACAGTTTGTGCTATCGACGCCCGATGGAGCCACGTGGGTAAATGCGTGGAACGGGTGTCTGCCAGGTTTTTCATCCAATGTGTAGGCGATTCCAAAATACAGGTGGTCCGGTTATTTGCTGGTTTCTATTTATTTTATCGGCTCACATGAACACTGAGCATTTCCGAGCGGATGGAATGGTTTCTGTGATGTCACAGAGGAAAGCGTTTATTGACACGCATTCACCTGAGATGCGTGCAATGATTTATGCGTGTGCGTTTCCTTCAAGATACAGTCGGCGTATGCTAGCTGTGAGATGTGAACTCAGTGAATGTTTGTAAATTAAGCTCACAGTGAGCCTCAATCCAGCTGAATTGCATTTTGAGCTGAAGTTCGAAAACGTCAAAAACGTAAACAAACCAGCTGCCGTTAATGGTGGCTATCGCACGTTTAAATTAATTCAAGTTATTTCAACACAAATTTTCAGCTAATCATCTACTGTGGCCGTAAGAGATTACTTTTGGGATGGTAGAAACGAGACAAGTGATTCACCCATCGCTAAGCCCGGCAGGCGGGGGGCCTCCTAGCCACCTTCCGCGCGGTGGGGGAGGGGTGGGGGTACGTTTTTGTTCCCCTCGTATCTCCAAAACTGCTGGATAGATCCGTAAAAATCAAACGGCCTTTGATAGCCCTGTCAAATTTGTCGACAGAAATCTAATTTTATGGACCTCGGGGTCACCAATGACGTCACAGGTCAGTTCAAAGATAAAATGTTTCACAGTTCACGGATCTTCTAGAAAATGCGCTATAACATCGAGTAAAACACATTTTATCGAAAATCAGTGATAGGGCGTCAGTTGCCTAGTACATATGTTGCTATTAGAGGTCACTGATAATACCAGTATAACGCCTTTTGGGGCGACTAACGGAGCGAGCGAGAGGGTGAGCCTTGCACGTGCGAAATTGCGAGGGGGTACCTCCAACTGAGTTGGGCACGGCACCCTACTAACCGGTCTCTAGCGATATGCCAAATTTGGGTGCACAATCGGCCCAGCCGTTCTCGAGATCTGGAAGCGGCACCCTGCACGTGCGCACGTGCAAAATGGGTCCCAACTGACTTGTGCACGGCACCCTACTAACCGGTCCCTAACTGTGTATCAAATTCGAGAGCAATCGGTCGAGCCGTTCTCGAGATCTGGAAACGACCCCTGCACGTGCGCACGTGCAACAGCACCCCAACTTTGGCACATGGATATGCAGTGCCTAGTGGGTGCCTACCTTCATGCCAACTTTCAGCGCAATCGGCCAAGTAGTTACCGAGATATTGCAACAATTACAAAACTGACACCTCTTCGTTTTGCACGTGGCACGTGCATAAGGGGTCACCCACATGCATCGGGAATAGTCCAATACTTGGTAGAAGGAATGAAGCTACCCTACAAAAATTACCGCATGTAAATCGGTCAAGTGGTTGCTGAGATATAAGCCTCGCAAAAGCGTGACCACGGCCGGCCGGCCGGCCGGCCGCTCATACTCAGAAATTTCCGTTAATCTAAGGAAAGACTACGCTCGCTTCGCTCGCTCCGTAACCAGGTCGGGTCACAAGTCAGGTCAACAAGGGTCAGCACATGAACCCAACTTTCCTAGGGCTGTGCAGTGCATGTTATAAGGCCAATTTTTCATTTCCAACTCAATGTTGTTGGATTTAGTACCATCAGGAACGGTTTAGGTCACTTCCTGGTGGAGGTCAGGTCAAAAAGTCAAATTTCAAAGTTGATATTTTTACATGAAATGGGTATTGATTCGATGCGGCTCGTCACGGTGAGTCTAACCCGCGCCCCGCTGGGGGGGGGGGGCAGAATCTGTCCCCCCCCCTCCCGTTTTTCGCCAATAACTTCTAAACGCGTTACGCCAGCGACGTCAAACTTTCAGCACCTTATCATACATCAATTTGACACGTTCCCTGAAAATTTGAGCGAAATCCGTCGGAAAATTTTTGAGAAATTGACGTTTTAGTGACGTCATGTTCGCCATTTTCGCCTCAAAAACGGCAAAATTTCAAACGCCGCTAACATCTTCATTTTTAAAGGAATCAACACGTAACAAAAAAGGTTATACGTGATTCTACTTTGTCTATCAAATGGCTATCTCGGTTTTTTGAAAAGTTTTGATTTTGGCCAAAAATTTTCCAAAAAACTGACTTTTTTGGGAAAACATTTATAAAATCCAAAATTTTGAGTTTATCGAAAAAAACCGGAATATATGTCAAAGAAGTGGTCTATGTGCACCTACATACCAATTTTTAGAAGAATCGGTTCAAAAATGTGGGAGTTATTCAAAATTTTATGACGTCACGACACACAAAAATTTTGAAAAATGATTTTTTGGAAGTTCTAGACCTCGTACGGAAACAAAAATAGCACCATTCGATTCGCCGTGAAAAACTGTATCGGATAGACACCTTTTTAGGCATTAACAACCAACTTCAAAATTTGACCTCACTTGACCTGACCTTGACCTGACCTCGACCTGAAATTCATCCAGAGGTGGTCCATATCACTTATTGAGTGTGCCTATTGAATTCCATGAGTAAAATGACCCATAAAACATGTGTCGCACATGCCCTTTTCTATATTTTGTTTTTGGTGACCTGACCTGACCTGACCTGACCTTGACCTTGACCTTTGAATGACATTGTGTGCAACAAATATTGTTTTGGTAGTCTAAGAACACGTTTTGGGCAATCAGTCTCAGTCCATTCTTCGGCAACTACGGTGCAAGGCCGATACTGTAGAAACTTGCATTTTGTACCCTTGACCTGACCTTGACCTGACCTCTGACCTACTTAAGCAAAAAAATTTGGGCTCTTAAGATCCGTCTTGTTGAGAGCTTTCGATTGCCGTTTTCCCCGTCTTTCTACGACCATCGGTTCGGAAGTTAGACAGGGGGGGGGCAGAATCTGCCCCCCCCCCCCCAGCAGGGCGCGTATGGCTGAATAGCCCAGCGGGGCGCGGGTGTTGGTCTTTGTTTTGTTCTACGTGGTCTAGAATTGCTAAAAATTGGGTTTGAAAATTTGACCTAATAAATTTTGAAGTTTTTTATTCGCTATAGCTTGGCCAAAAAAAGATGTATCGATCTGAAATTTCCCATGTGAATATAAGCCAATAGGGGCTATTACATATGTTTCCGTTTCGGCAGTGGTAACTACGCGTTCGTCCTGCCAATAGATGTCGGAACCGCTTCGGGATCCTCAAATTCTCTTATTTCCTTGTTGACTTATTTTAGCCGTTTTTTTATTTTGCCGTCCTCTGGAACACTTACTTTGAGATCACTACACATTTGCCGTTTTTCGCCTTTGACCTTGACCTTTTACCTTGAAAATTAACCTTAGATAAAAAAAAACTACGGGTGCATTAGAATCGTCTCGTAGCGACCTTTCGTATAATGTCGCCTTTATTTCCGCAGCTCCCTTATTTACGGTTTTAGACAGGACAACAAAAAAAAAAAAAAAAACGGAGTTAGACAGGTAAAAACGCCCCTCCCGGCTGCGGTGGTTGCATTACTTCCCGGGCCAGGCCAGGCTAAAGTACCGTTTAATTGGTGATTGACCCAACACCGACTAGGACGGCAATGCCACATTTTGATACAACCTTCGCCCGTATAGAGAGGGTCAGGGCTGCGGAGTCGGAGTCGGAGTCGGAGTCGCCAGTCGGTCGGAGTCGACAGTTGTGACCGGAGTCGGAGTCGAAGTCGGAGTCGATTTTAGAAACCCGAGCCGGAGTCGGAGTCGGAGTCACCGAAAATCTGTCGATTCCGCAGCCCTGCTAGGTCTGCGGAGTCGGAGTCGGGAGTTGGAGTCGGTCGGAGTCGACAATTCTGCCCGGAGGGAGTCGGAGTCGGAGCTGGTTTTTGAAAGCCCGAGCCGGAGTCGGAGTCGGAGTCGCCGAAAATCCATCGACTCCGCAGCCCTGGAGAGGGTCGAATGGACCTCCCCCTCTCGGTTTTTCGTGAATAACTCTCGTAAAAAGCGGCCGATCGCGGCGAAAATTTCAGTACCCTCGAGTTACTCAATTTTACACCTACCCTAAAAATTGCATGAACCTGACCTAAATTAACTTTGACCTGTCACCTATTTCTCGAGACCATGTTTGGCCGGAATTGCGATTCGGCGTACGTCGGCTCACATTAGCAGCGCGTTCGCCGAGTCTTTTTTGTGGTTTGAAACGTTCAAACGTGTGATATGATGCTGGTCCCTCGCATCATGGTGGATGTCAACTGTCAAGGTCGCCTGAATGTCAGTCTAGGTCATTGACCTATAATGGCCTCGGTTCAATTTTTCAAGCTTTAGGTACATGTTCTTAGGCTAGTTTTTGTAGCTGATTTCGAATTTAGCAACCATTTGAACATTTCAGAATTTGGTGCCTTCGTAACATGTTATGGAACTTCAGTGGTGGTTAACACCTATTATGCCTGCCCGGCAGGACTCCTACTGGGTGACCTGGCCTGACCTGTTCCGACCTGGCCTAAATGCATGAAGACATCACCTGTGATCAACAAAACTAACATGAAGCTCGTAATCAGCACCCCGAAACCCCCATTGCAGCCTTACATTCCGATTTCCGGAGTTCCGACTGCCATTAGCGTCGCCACGGGGGGGGGGGCAAGCGGGGCAGCTTGCCCCCCCCCCAACCTCGGACCGGGCACCCCCTGAGATCGATACAGATCCGATGAGATTTTGGAGTCGGGAAAAATGGGGGTACCTTTCTGAGAATGCCTGTGAGGTCAGACTCGGTTGGAGCGTGCAGTTCAAACCAGAGTCTGAGTCGCAGTCGCCAAAATCTTCAAGACTCCGAGTCCAGACTCGGAAATGTCAATGTTGTGATTCATTTCATGTTCCTAGTTGGTTCTTTATTACATTTTACAGCTGATTTTCATAAGTTTTGGAGTGCTGACACCATTTGCGTTCAAAGCGTGAAACGAAATCTTCGTGGCCTTTCTCAACTCTCGTCAAATGTCTGCGACAGGCTCAAGTACCGTGCAAGTGTCGCAGGGCTCATGAGCTTGCCTTTCACACAGGCTCCTAAGGAGCTCCACTGAGCCCTAAGAAGCTTTCAGAGAGCCCAAACCGGCCTCTGAAAGTCCCACTGGTGTCCATGCTCTCTGAGGGCCCATAAAGGGATCTTTGAGTTTGAGCCTTCGATCATTTCTGAGAACCTTAACTGGCCTCTGATAGTTCAGTCAAACTTTTGAGGCGACAGACTTTGCGAACCCCAAGCCGGCATCTGAGGGGTCACAGCTCACGTGTCCCTCTGAGGGCCGCAACGCAACACATGTTTCTTATGTCCCTACGTAGGGTCCTTAGGGATTCGACACAGACCCCGAGGGCTCACACTGTTATCCGAGGGCTCCAGGCTCGCCCTGGGCCTAGTCTCTAGTCCCAAGCCTATCTGGGGATCTCCTGCCGCTATGCCGTGCGTAACTTTTGGTTCCGTTTAACAGTTTTTGTTCGCGTTTGCAGCGCTTCCCTTCACACGTAAAACGTGAAACTTTTGTTCACATTCGAGTGAACACACTCTCACTGCAGCAAAGATGAATTACTTCCGATTCACACTTCCGACATTCACTCTCCGCCGAACGCCCAACTTAGCTACGAGCAGCGGCTGGGATATGCCCTATGCATTTCACGTAAAACCTCTGCATCAGACATGTGCTTGGATCCGGAAAAATGGATCTGAGATCCGATCCCATGGATCCCGATCCGAGATCCATCCAGATCATTGATCCAACCCCTCAATTTTGTCGAGAGATCTACTGGGATCATAGATCTGACCCTTCAATTTTGTCGCTAGATCCACTCGGATCATAGATCTGGCTCCCCAATTTTGTCGTGAGATCCATTGGGATCATAGCTCATAGGTGCTCAAAATGTTAACAACTTTCTTTCATAAGAAGTTATGAATACCAAAGTATGGTTAGAAACAATCTTGTACAAAGGCCATATCAGTAAAGGCATCCAGTTACATTATACAGAATACAAAATAAAGGAGGCTCATGACGGTCACAACTTGAGAGAATTGAGTGACATGAAGATTGTTCACAGTTCACATACCAACAGAAAAGTTTGCATTAACAATTAACATAGAGGTAAGTCAAAGTAATGACTAATGAACAATACATAACCAGGTAGGTACCTACCACATCACAATTCATGTTAGAATCTACATAATGATATTGATAAGACAATCTTGCATTAGACAACCAGGCTTTCCAGTTTCCAGCTAACACAATTGATTGATAAACAATAAAAGATGATACTGACACATGTGGCTTGGTTAGGTAAAGGTATTTCAATCTATTGAAAGAAATATTTGATAAAATAAACTGAGATATAAACAAAAGTATAAAAATATTTAACAGCCTGCGGAAGCGATGGGAAGCGAAATATCAATTGTAATGGCCTTGGATATTTACCGTAAAATGATTATTCAGTATCTAAATAGAACTCGTGACGTCATTTCAAATAACAAATGAGCTAGGCGTTCTACCTTCGAGTTTAATGAAAATAAATAAAAAATCAAACTGGAAATTCAAAAGTCTGGAGTTTTTTTTAAAATAATGTTCATTTTTTCTGCCTTACATAATTTTATGATACGATTTTTTGTGAATATCATCTTTGTAGCGTCGAATTTAATGACGTAAACGTAAGCTGAAACGGTATAACATGACACTGAGCGGTGTGCGCCTTGCATCTTTATTTTATCCACTTTTCAAAAGAATAACAATATCTTACGTCATTAGTTTAAAGGGCCTATTACGGGGAATCTTTTGAAATCATTGCGGTTTTGGTCAAATTAAGATTTTTCATTGGTCAAACGATAATGACTTAATAAAACCATATTACCAAAACGTGAGCTATGAATTTCGTTTGTCTTTTTTTTGGAGGCTCTCTCATAACGAAAGCACAGCATGGCACCACACGTGGCACGGCGGCCTTGGCACGATGCCAAAAGTAGGTAATCTGAAGAAGTTGATGCCATTTTTGAATTTGTAATTTTATTAGGAAAGTATTAAAGGTTGGTTGCTAGTCTTACTAAATCGAAATTGTGTTGCACATACTAATAGCTCATACGAACATTCTGGATTGGGATTTCATACCTGGCAGAAGTGGATTGCTGGATTATTTTTAACAAAACTGACCTATTTGGCTTCCAGGTTTGATTTCCTAACATCTGTCCATAGGCGGCAGAACAGGGGGGGGGGGGGCACCAGGGTACAGTGCCCCCCATAGATTTTGGCATTTTAACATTAGCCGTACTGGCGTTGCATGGAAAGAATGGGACAAAAATGAAAATCTGCAGTGCCCTGCTGCCACTGCACCTGTCTGTACTGTTTGTTCATTGAATCAAAGTGGCTGTAGCTTGTTGATAAGATTGTCATCAGTGCTGTCATGAAAAAGTTACAATTGGTCACAAAAAGTAGCAATATGCATGTTCTTGGTTTATTTTAAATGTAGTACAAATGTTGTTTATTTAAATTCAAATTTAATGATGATACCTAATGATTACAAGTGGTCTTAACCAATAGCCATGACCACAAGTGATAATTCTCAATTGTATTGCACTGTAAGGTGTACAATTATGTAGGATAAGGGTTTCATTGGCTACATGTTGTCGTGAGATCCATACAGATCATAGGTCCTCCACAAATTTTTGCCCGCTGGATCCACAGAGATCATAGATCCGACCCCTAAATTTTGTCGAGAGATCCATTCGGATCATAGATCCAACCCCTGAATTTTGTCGAGAGATCCACTCGGATCATAGATCCAACCCCTCTATTTTGTCGAGAGATCCACTGAGATCATAGATCCAGCTCTTGGATCCATGCACATGTCTGCTCTGCATACATGCGTGAATGGAGGTTTTAGGAGGGTGATCCGATTAAATGGAGCGTTTGTCATTTTTTTTTTGTTATGATCATGAGCGACAAGCGTCTGCACAGGGACCCTCTGCAGTGCGTCGGCAATCGCAGCCACTGTAATTGTACCAGTCGTTTTTGTCCAGAAATTTCAAAATTTCGAATTTCCTGTAAAAAATTACATGTCATAGCTAGAAGGAAACCTTCGTCACCATCGGATTCCTCGCACCATTGCGCGTCGAATGATATGTAAAACGAGTGAGTAACGAATGGGAAAGGCAAGTTTTAACACAAAAGTTGATTTTGCCCCCGCCCCCCAACCGAAAACCTCTGGCGACGCCTATGCCGACTGCTCCCAATTTTCTTGATTTTTTGGTCATTGACCTGACCTGCAAGGTCAATCGATGACCTAGAACCTTAAAATTGTGTACCATCGGCTTCCTCTCGTCACGGGCAACACGCTCTTTTTCCGCGAAGGTCTAGCTCGATTAGGGGCCGAACGGCAAGAGGGGGGGGGGGGTCCAACCCCCCTTATACGGCTGGCAAAACTCCAATAAGGCGAGGGTTAAATCGGGAGCCATTGTTCATTGATAGTTCCTCTGTGTTCCGTGTAAGCATGCACTTAAACACAATGAGTCCTCATGCTGCTCGTTGGTGTTCAATATTCATGCAAACGCATCGCGGGTCGCTCACACTTTGAAGACTTTACCTGAACGGCGACCTCCGGGACTGAGTTGGAAAGGTCTCAGATTGATTCTGATCAAGGTCAAAATTGTAATTTTAGTTAGCCCCTATATTGCACAATCATGGTCCGCAGCCCGCAAGCCGATCACTATTCACTATTCAGTGCTACTGCTAGACTGCTAGCCGCTCGCTCAACAGACGTCTGAAGGGTAGGCTAGCCCGCCGAGCATCGGTGTCCGGCGGAACAGCCTACCCTCGCAGTCAGCCGCTCCGAGTCGTATGCGGTGCTTTGGTTGTGTTGAGCGCTTGCTCTTTTTTGGGGGCGATTGGCCATCACATTTCCGTATGAGATATAAAACGTTTAGATGCCTTACATACTGTGCAAAAAATAGTGTATTTTCTTCTTATCCGAGGGCATTCAATTTTGATAGTTAGTGAATCGTGTCTGCTTCTGAGCTCGAGTTTAGGTGGTGACCGCGATCTGCGCGTGCGCACATGTATACCATGTGCCGACCGTAACATATATTGGTATACATTGGTATATTAGTAGTCTGCTAATAAACTTCTTATCACTTCAATAAAATATCTCATGACCAAAGAAGCAACCATGGCATTGCGAGGCTCAATCTTATAAACGCCGTGGAAAAAGCTAAAAATGCGAAAATGCGAAAATGAACCCTGCGGGTTATCACCAAGCTAGTTGCACAAGAAAACATTCACACCGATAAACATCTATTGCAACATCCAGATATTGATTAAAAGGTGGTGCTGTACCCACCTGCGTATATCGCGCGCCACAATTCCCAGTAACTATACAATGAAGCTCCATGCTGGCTCATTTGCAACTGATCTCCTTCCAACTGAGCGCAGAAGGCTGCCGAGTTTTCAGACAGAGGCAGCTTAAAACATGCATCCCGTCGCCATTTCTGGTACAAATGACGAAAGCAAAACATCCATTTTCGTTGTTTTAGCCCATAACAAGCGCTAAATGCCGGCTGAGTTTCCGTTGAGGTCGGCCAGCAGCTGACTGATTGGGATCCCACCGAGAGCCCTCTTGAAGAACACCTCCTGAAGGAACGTGCTGGAGACGGTCTTCAAAGAAGAGAGCAGCAGTAGAAGTCTGCCGAAACGGGCCTGAAACAGCATGGAAGTCTGTGAAAAGGGGTGCCGTATGGAACTAAGTATCTACTTCAAAGTTCAAACGGCTTCCATTTCTTCGAATTGATAAACTGAGATGAGCTCGGACCTCTTTTTGAATTTAGATTTGAAGTTTTGGGTAAAGGTATTCAGTATAGGTTCGACGGATATGATGTTCTTACCTTTGCGGCTACTTTCTGTGAGAACACGTATTCATAGAGCATCATATGAGTCTGATCTTGGAGCGCCTCAATGGACTTCGGATCGCGCACTAGCTTCACCTCTGAAATGATACAAATCGGAATTATTCAATGAGTGGTACCAATCGCAAAAAAATACACGCAAACATTTCTTCTTCCATTTGCAGATTGCACTATGGCGATGATGCCGCAGCCTTGACAGGACACAAGCTATGAGTCTCAGCTATCTCTCACCTGGTTTGAAGAGCACCAGCGCCCTCAGGCAGGCGTACTCGGTGTAATCGACCTTCAGGTCTGCAAACCTCTGGATGAGATCGGTCAGACCCGCCAACTGCAGAGCCATCTGCTGGGGGTGGGGGGAACCACAGCTGGTCGCCAGCTCGGTGGCTGGAAACGGGAAACATCAGTCTTGACGTCAGAAACTGGAAACAGACGCAGGTCTGCCGGCTTATGCAGTTGTTGGCAGGCAAGTTCAAAGACAAACTTCTAAGAGGTTCCTCCTTGTGCGAACAATTGCAATGGATTTATATGGGTGTCAAAATATAAAACAACATTGATTCTGCCAGCCATGGAACGAGACGAACAGTCGATTGCAAATGATGATGAGTTGTCGGGCCTCGAGTCGTTTTTCTTGGTGCTGCAATCACCTAGATTGTAAGCTTTTTTACAATCTGGCTAATGGAATGGGAATGTAAAACGAGTTCAAATTTTAACATTATGTGTCGAGCGGTTAAATATGTTGTCATATAACTCATATACATATAAAGATCAAAGACACCAAAGTATTCTTTGTAGATCGTCACGCTGAAATCTCCGAAATGTCGATGGGACTCACGGTTGTCAATGATAAGCGGCCACTGAGCAGCGCTAATGACAAACAGCTCACTCCAGCTGGCCTCCAGCAGCGCTCGCTGCTCGATAGTCGACATCTGCGGAGAAAAAGACAGAAAATAAGATATCAGTGGGTGATCTCTAGATAGAAGAGAAGGGAGCTACCCATTAGAGAAAACAGCTCGTCAAACGGATGTGCGGTTGCTAGAATATAAGTCTATCAATAGCGTTACAGACCAGACCGGGAGGGACCATCATCATCATCATCATCATCATCATCATCATCATCATCATCAACGCCATCACCTGCAGGAAGGACGGGATGGTGTGCGCCCATCGGACTGCCAGGAACAACAGTTTGGCGGCTGTCTCCATCACCGTCTCTGTCGCGGGCCGGAACAGAGACGAGGCAGAGGCGGCGGGGGTGACCAGCGAGGGGGACGGCTCCGAGCAGACCCCTCTCTCCGCTGCCTTACCGTCCGTAGGAGCTCCCAGCAGTGTACTCGACTGGAGCGGCTCCTCTGCAGAATGGGAGGAGAGGTAAGGCAAAAATGGCGTTACATGGATTTATGTTCATGTTAATGAAAACCAGAGAAGATGACTTACAATTATGTGTATGTTAGCGGTGGCACGAGCCACGACACATGTGAAAGTTCAGTCGATGCTACTTAATGTATGTTTTATTAGAAGACGTTTGGCATCTTAATTATTGATAAGGATTTCTGAGCGCATTTGCTATTTTCTAATGCAACATTGATGCGTCCCCGTGTCTATGAGGACTGGCATCCCCCCCTCAATTTTCCCCTGGACCCCACTCACCGATCTCCGGCTGCGGCGAGTCCACTCTGACGACATCGATCTGGGAGCTGGACACCTCCTGTTCCTCTCGGCGACTGGTCAGAGGCTCCTCCCGGCTCCTGACCGACTCCGGGTGCTCCTGCGGCTCCTCCCGCCGCGGCGGCGGCTCCTGCTGTCTCAGGATAGCAGGAGCCGCCGCCCCCGCCGCCGCCCCCGCCCCCGCTGCCGCCGCCGCCGCCGCCATTGCTGAAGACACGGTCACCGCCGCCGGCGCCGGCTCCAACGGACTCCAGAACGGAACCGCTGGCCGGACCGGAGTGAACGCCGAGCCTCCGCACGAGCCGAGGAACGGCGACGGAACGATCGGGAACGGCCGCAGGTGCGGGAACGGGCCGGCGTACGGCGCGAACGGCGGGAACATCTGCGAGGTGATGAGCAGCGGCGCGCCGCCGTCCGGGGGCAGCATGGCCGGCTGCCGCTTCACACAGGAGCGCGGCGCACGCTCATGCTGCACGGCTGCGGGAGCAGAACGGGTCACAGATAGTCACGGAGAGTCACGGAAAGTCACGGATAGTCGACATTATTCACAGGTAGTCGTACAAAGGTCAGAAATAATCACGAATAGTTGGGTACATAGATGCACAGCACAGATAGCGAGAAATGGTTACTGATTAAGTGGAGAATGGTCATGGATAATGTCCATTACTTTTTCCCAAAGTTCATTAATGAGCCACCTCTCTCTCTCTCTCTCTCTCTCTCTCTCTCTCTCTCTCTCTCTCTCTCTCTCTCTCTCTCTCTCTCTCTCTCTCTCTCTCTCTCTCTCTCTCTCTCTCTCTCTCTCTCTCTCTCTCCCTCTCTCTCTCTCTCTCTCTCTCTCTCTCTCTCTCTCTCTCTCTCTCTCTCGCACACACGCGGTAGCGGTGCAAAACGCGTCTGCGCTGGCGAATTCGAGTTGCCTATTACGGCTGAATAGTCCATATTTAATGTGGGGTCCTCATCAAACATACATGTGACGGCCGAACGTCGGCTTTTCAATGACCTTTCACCTCCAGGCCTGGCGGGCCATTGTTGTGGGCGCGGTTGTTTGCCTAGCCTGTGAGCGCTGGCAGGTCGGGAGGCCGGAGGGGATGGGGAGGGGAACGGGGGAGCGGTAAATACGCCGCCCGCCATTCATCAATAGGGTACCTGTACACAGCGGGGCGGGAGCGAACGTCAGACGAGTCGGCTAGAGGTGCGGGGTTGTGGTGGAGTTTGGAAGTGGGTATGAACTCCGAAGTCTGCGACTGGCATCGCTGGCGAGGAGTGATGGCTGATGGGGCTGGTGGGGCGTGTCGTTTATTGGAGGGCCCGAGAGTTCGACGGAAAGCTCAACGGTGGCGCTTGGTGGTGGTAGAATATGATATTACTGCTACCTATCCATGCATAAAGGTACAGAGAGAAAATCAGAAACGAGTTTGCAGTGTCATCTATTCTTAGTTAGATGGTCGTTTGGCTTAGCATTGATAACGGTAACGTTGACGAGCCTTAGAATGACAAAAGTTGTTACCTGCCTCTAGGACCTAAATCTTCAGATTTGGGAATACGGATTCGCCTATTCGAAAAGCTCATCAAGATTGCTCAGCAATGCACTATGAAGTGTACGTCAGCTCCCCCATTTTCTGGCGCATCGGTGCTGGGTGTAAGAGCACCAGTCGCACTCGGAAATGTCGCCGACATCGGCCCCCAGATGTCGGACATCAGCCGCCAAAGGTCTGACACCGGACGCCAAATGTCGGACGTCAGGCGTCAGACACCGGCCGGACGGCGCCAAAGTGGTCGGCGCGCCGCGAAACCGGGCCCTCATATATCAATAGTGGCCTGTTGTCGGTGTCAATACGGGCGCTGATCGATGACTATTAGGTAACGGGAGACAATCCTGCACACCTGATCGGTTCTCACAGTCGGCCGCCGCGCCGGCCACCCTCGGACGATCGCTGCCGCACTGACACCTGGTGGACGCTGGGTGAACTAGGTCCGGGAGGGCGAGGTGCTCCACAACAGTAAAAGATTGGAAAGGTGCAACTGCAGAGCAGTCTTATCGTTATCTGATTCGCAGTGGGCATACAGCAATCACATTAGAAAAGGACTGAAAAGGTCTCAATGGCGGCTCAGAACTAGTGAGTAACTTAAATGTCTAGCGACCGCATTAATTAAACTTTAAAACGAGCCCTGCATAAATTGTTTTCTCCCTCCAGACACTACATTAGAGTGTCTCCGTTTATAGAAAATGATGTGTTTTTCTTCCGTCTTCCTTCTCCCGGGCGTTAAAATTGTGTGCGATTAATGGGCCTCCCGTCGCCATGTTCAACTAGTTTTCAAGGAATGTGAACCAGTTTGTTTCAGTGCACGAAACAGGACAATGGGCGTATAAATATTTTCAGGTTCGTCCAGCGTCTTAGGAATTTGATAGTATTACCGCTCAGAAGGCTAAGATTGCATGTCCCTGCCCTGTGCCAACAAATTCAATTGATATCAGCTATCACAAGGAAAAAATGAGCAAGCAGCGAGGTACAAGAAGGTGCCTTTTCTATCTATAGGCATCTAGGCACGCCTCGCAAATGCGACGCTCTGGTTATAACGTACCGTAGCAATTGAACTCAGCTTTAGACGTCGCATTTAACCAGCTTGGACTTTACACGTCCTAGCGGCCTCGTGGCATTATGTCATTATAAATATATGTTAAAAATAATCTCGTATTGAAACAAAACACTCGTCTCATGGCAATCCGAATAAATTCGTAGGTGCTGAATGTAAGGCACACTCCTCAGCAATGTTCCATCACAGTTTGACTGTCATGCCTGATTCCTAAACGAGACAGGTGAGACGCAGGACACATTTTCCCATTGATACCGATGGGCAGCGATCTAACAAACAAAGGCGACTGCCCCGGGCACAAGATTGGGCCGATACGATAGGTGTTCACGACCGATCGAATGTTATCGCTACCACCGATGTAGAAAAACCAAAAACTCGCGATATGGCACCATCAGATAAATAAATCGGTAGCGGCTTCGGATTTTACGTATACAGTACCTTACAACAGTCCATACAAATACGTGACTCAAGAAACACAAATGTAATCAAATGGGATTGCTATTCTTGCATATACTGCTGTGTAACCTAAGAACTCAGAACCCATAGCAAGTTCGGGAAGTGGCGAACTTTCCCTTTAGCTACGGATGTTTATCTAAATATTCCAAGCTTATGATGCCGGCTCAGAGACTGGAATAACTCACCTTCCCTTCGCATGTTGACCTGGAGACACTTTGTGAATCGGCAGGCCTGACACTGGTTCCTCCGTGCCACATCCACCACACAGCGGCCACTCTCCTTACAGATGTACTCCAGGTTCCTGAAGGCACAGATACACATGGCTGGCTCAAAAATGGTACCGAGTCCGACATGGGTATATCAATTGACTTTGATGATTGCATCAGTCGCGCAGTGATCGAGGCAACACTATCAAAGTGTGATAGACTTTCGGGTAGTGTGGTAGCTAGAAATTCGGGTAGATTCCCCAAATCACATTCGCATCCATCGAGTTCCAGTCCCATGCATATTCTTGAAACTGCTCTTCATTAGCTGTTATTTCGAATAACGAAAAAGGCATGGTTTTCAAACTACGAGACTGGACAATCGGTTAGTGCACGATGTAATAAATATATAATCATTCCATGAGAGTCAGACCATCGGCCTTCGTTCCCTTCCACTTGTTCCCATTCATTGACCACTGCCCCTCCCCCTTCCGACTCCGTTGCTCTGTGTTTTCACCGCTCAGCTGCCTCCGCGTGTGCGTCCATTCGTCAGAGACCTGTCTGGTGTGAACGGACCTTAGCGACGGACGGCACCGGTGTGAACAGACCCTAACAGACGGCACTGCGGCAGTCTGCACGAGACAATACGGCGACGAGCACCCATGACCGATCACTAGTCAATACGGCATCGGTCAGTGGACGTCGCACGGTGTGTTCAGGTGCGGGAGGGGGGGGGGGGGAGGACATCCCCGTGTGGGACCGTGGGGGCATGGGGGACCACCGAGTGGGGCGTGACCAGACTTGTAAACGACTCTGAGTTGATTCGTGAATCGACTCAGAATCAAACCGTTTTTCGATGAGTCATGAGTTGATTCGAGTCACTTCATCGAGGAACTTGATGAGTCATGAGTTGATTCGAATCAATTGAATTTAACATCATGAGTCATTTGATGAATCGATTCAAATTTTCAGACTCAAACAAAGAATCGACTCAAAAAAATTTGAGTCGTTTACAAGTCACCATCAACACCCTAATAATCAATGCTAGATCACCCCCTCAGCTTTAGCCATCACTTAACTCCATATTTCAGACTTACAAGAGCCTCAGAGGCTCAGGCACAGGCGCCTAATGAGCCAAAAGCATTTGGCAGTTGGTAGGTAGGTACTTAGTCTTACCAAACCAAGTGCCTGCTACACTACCTAGGTACCTACATTTTACATGTCAGAAGTCAAAATTGACACCTGCGGCTGCCTCCCCTTCTCCCAGTCCCAATTTGGTCCCAATAATCAATCAACAGCATAGGAGTTTGGGCATCTATTGAGTCAAATACGCCCAAACTACCTATAGCCTATAAACTACCTATAGGCTATGCTATAATATAAATAAACTCACCTGTAAACCACAAAATTGCGATGCTCAACTGCCAATAAACCACAAAATGCAGATTTTCCCATGAAATATAGAAGTTTAAAAATAAACTTGTTTTATGACATCATAGAATCTTCAGAATAATGTAAAGGAGCGGCTTTGAAATATTTTATCAGCGATATCCATTGGCCTAAAATATGTACTATGAGTGACGTCATGAATTCGAGAATAGAATGTTGAAGTCATAGTAGTTTTAAGAAAACTACATTAATGGCGCAGTTGATAACTATCACGTCTGAATCTCGTGACAAATTGGCCGGATGACGTTGCCCGAATTAATGACAATTTATTTTTACCAAAAGAGCCACTTGGTCAGTGCTCCGGTGCTCCTGATATCGATTAATATTCAATGACGTCATTTTTAATCTAAAATTGCTCAAGATCATATCTGATTCTGAGGCCTGAGCCACTCATGCAAGGTCATGGACTCCTCGTGGCCCATGGAGCCCTGTTGATGCTGAATGTTTCACAGGTGGGATTAATCCTATTTTTGAGGTTGTACTGTTTGAATAATTTTATCTGATAAGTAAGAAGTAGTAACATTTGTCTCATTATCATGTAGAAAAGGTTTGATTAAAAGAAAACATGAATGCCTCTTGGAACTTGTGCTTTTGAATTTTCAAATAAGACTTTCTAGGTAATAATAAGAGATAGGTTACTATGCTACTCCTTAGTCCTTACTTATATTATAATTGTCTCTCAGAGTTACTTACAAATTTATCTGACATTGCACTGTTGAGTGTTGAAGATAGGTAGGGGTAAGGTAGGTACCTATGTACCTAGTCCTACTAGGTAGCTGCTTGAATCTTTGGTCAAGGCTACTATGCTGCTTAATACAATTGTGGTATGCGGCATATTCATTTTATCATAACTTTGAGTCAAATAATCAACAAATGCCTATAGTGAGTCATGGGTTGAATGAAATAAGTTCAATAAAAATGTCGTGTGAGTCATGAGTTGATTTGAATCGATTCATCAAAATGTGTGAGTCATGAGTTGATTCGAATCATTCCGTTGGCTAGTTGCTCGAGTCATGAGTTGATTCGAATCATTTTATCGAGGAACTTGATGAGTCATGAGTTGATTCGAATCAATTAAATTTAACATCATGAGTCGTTTGATGAATCGATTCAAATTTCCAGACTCAAACAAAGAATCGACTCAAAAAAAAATTTGAGTCGTTTACAAGTCTGGGCGTGACAGCGACCCACCGACAGAGCAGCAAGCAATAAAGGATGGGAAGGAAAGAGTAGGTAATACTTTTTCTATACCTTTATTTGTGTAAACTCATTTTTGGCGCCTTTTCTTGAATGTGCGCTTCTTTAACTACCTCTGTTCAATAAGTTGTTGTGTGAAAACTGTTAGACGGCAGGAAAAAAGCCGAATACGTGCTGTATTCACCTAGCCGGCTACGATTTGTCCCATCGGTAGCTTAGACTTTATCTGGATTACGACCGAAGTAATGCCATGCAGAACATGTCAATTAAAACCAAATAATCGTCTTCAGCTATCTGTTCACTGCTCTTACTCGTTGGATAGTTGCTCGATACATAGGACGATTGCGATTTTACTTTTTTGTCAGGAAAAACAAAGTTGCACTTTTTTGTTGTCCACAGTATTCATTAAATAGCCAGAAATGTAAAGAAGACTCTCTCTCTCTCCTCTCTCATCTCTCTCTCTCTCTCTCCTCTC